TCGCCTTTTTCACAAACGAGTTGATTTTGGTTCCAAAGGATTGAATTAGTATAATGCTCTGAAGATTGTACTTTATAGAGGAGAAGACAGTTCATCATTACGCACTGTAAATTATGCAACAACAAAAGCAATTTACATTTACATCTGACCGCTTTATCAACAACGGTTTTTCAGAATTCTATACAGCTAACCATAGTCCGATACATGGTTATCAACATTTGCCTCTTCTTTCATTAGAACAAGCTACGGAGAAAATTATTTCATTCGTTCCTAATCTTATGAATTACATTGCACAAGCTAAGGAAAAATGTAATTGAAATTCTACTATTCTAACTTGGGATGAATCTGCATCAATATATCTTTACTCAATGCCAATACCTTTTTTCTCACAATTGAACAAGGCTCTTCGTGATGAAAATCGGCATGAATTGAAGCCATGGTTTGCCTTCTTAAAACTGATCATACATGCTCTCGAAAAATTGCCTTCACTTCAAATTGATGTTTGGCGCGGTGTTTCGGACGATATTGGTTCAAACCTTGTTAAGAATGATGTTTGTATATGGTGGAGTATAAATTCATGTTCAACAAATCTCAAAGTCGTAGAATTATACTTAGGAGAGAAAGGCACTGTGTTTGCCATTAAGTCACATTATGGTAAAGACATTTCTTCGTTTTCAGCATTTGGAACAGAGCGTGAAGTCATTCTCATGCCAGGAACCCGTCTGCAAGTCAAAAGTGATACATTAAATTTTAAAGGTCATCTTTTCATTGTTCATTTGGAAGAGATAAATCAATTCATATCAGAAGCATCTGAGTAAGTTGGCATCAAATTTGTTATGTAATTCTCAAGTTAAAATCGAAAAAATGAAATGTTTTTTTTTTGTTAAATTCACAATTACATGTCCGAACTCATATTTTAACTAACTCGAGAACAAAAAGAGTCAGAGAGTTCAGATTTTTACTCCTTTCTAAAACTGATATTTAAATCAACATGGATCAGGTTTTCCTATCTAGTAAAATAATTATCATAGCATACTTTATAGTGTTTTATCACAAACTTTCATATAAGACTGTTATCAGAACAACATCGAATAATTATTTAGTAATGAAGCTTAGGACAGACTTATTCTAATGTCGTACTATTTAAAACATATATAATGCACAAAAATATGTGATAACAAGTTGAATCTAACATGAAAAACGCATTGAATATATAGTGAATAATGTTTATATCTGATCAATATTTAATTAATGTATGAAACTATTACAGAACTCATATTCCTATGAAGTATCCACTTTACCAATACATTCAACGAAAGCAAAAACTTACTAGTATATATAGTGAAAAGTGCTTTAGTTATTAAATATGACTTCGACGTCAATCCTGTGACCATAAGATCACAGATATGACCAATCGAGAGACTGATCTGAGTGTCATAGAATAAAAGAAATGAATAACGATTTATGCTGGTGTTTCGGGTGGCTCAATCGATTCTGCAAATTTAGAGTAATTTCAGCACTAGTCTGGAATGAACTTTACATGTGACAACTTCACAACAACTTGTCTAGGAGTCTAGACGGAGATGAGATTGTTAAGTTTTTTCTTTGCGGAAATGAAATGACTTTGCTTGATCGATGTATTTTGTCATTTTTTTCAGTGCGAAAAGCTCAAAAACAGTTCGTCAAATAGATTTTTAAGCATTCTCCATCATTCAAAAACGATTCATTACAGTCTAAAATGCTCCTTTCTTTGGAGAACTTCATTAGAAATACGTTCTTTAACTTTATTTTACTACAATAAATCAACGTCTTCATGAGTTTTTTTTTTCGAAACTTACTTCAATGTAAAAGTATACTAATAACTGAGTTGTGGTTCTATGTATTAACAAAAAGTTCCAGCATCATCTGAATTATAATTAACATCAACAGGAATCAATTCTAGTTCAATCTCTTTCACACAAATATTCGTCGTTTTAAATTTTATATCATTTGATTTCATTAAATTGATATGACTGCCCTTTTGTTTTCAATTCAACTTGCCTGTTTATTTTTGCACCAAGTGGTATGAGTAAGTCGCAATCATAGAAAAATATTAACGTCGTATTTTTTTACTTTCTCATTCTTATTTTAGCTCTACCATTGGGTTCATGTTTTGAATTACTCATTCTTTTTGCTTTTTTGTAACCCAGGGAGTAGAAGAAGAAATTATATAGTAATGTACTACAATACTAATGCTAGCAATATGAGTTTCACAATCATCTTTAGTTCAACTTTCAATTCCTACGGTAATAGTAAGTGATTTTTTGGTCTAATAACTTTCTATTTGGCACTTATATGTGCCTCGTTTATCCATTGACTGTTTGTCATTGTATATTATTTATCAAGACTTGACACATGCTAAGTGGTAAATCGCTCTCATTTAATGACAAGCATGAGGAGAGAAGTAAATGTTACCAATCGGTTATATAATCGAGTAACGGAAAATTTGTTAGGTTAATTTTTCGTTCAAAGAAAGTCTATTTTGATGAAAAGAACGATTTCTTAAAAGATTTGAGGAATGTTTTATTTTTTGAATTGAATAATTCGAATCTATAGACCATTTCGCAAAGTTTGTGAATCTGATTATTTCAGCACGGAAGATTTATTTCACGAAAATCACCGCTTCTTTTTTTTTTTTATAAAATTGTCCAAATTATAGAAACTCACTTTGAAAGTTTAAAGAAGCTTTCGATAGATTCGAATTCCCATATGCCAGAAACCTTCGATCAAATTTTATAAAATTCCGTTATAATCAGACATAAACTTCATGTGACAAAAATAATAAAACTCTAGAATTTCAACTAACCACAAATAGATTCGAGTTTCTTGGTCCTGACAACTTTTCATAAAAATTTTTAGGCATTTGCTATTTTCATAAAAAAGACTTTTTTTGAGAAAAAATTCAAACTCACATATTTTCAGTTATTTGATAGCGTAACTAGTTGGTTACTGTAATTTCTCTTCCCTCGTTTCTAATTAAATACAAGATATTTACTACTTACCGAGAATAGTAATGGGAATATGACACTTCTAGCTAGCAGTAATAGTATGGCATCTTTATGATGCGAAAGAAAGAATTAGTTCCTATTAATACAAAAAATATGGCTAACCTAATAGTTCTCATTGATTTGTACGACTTTAATTATGAAAGTAGAATGAATCGGGTTATATATATTCATAATTCATGATATTGCTCGAGAATGCCTCAATACGAAATTCTGAAATTAGAACAGCTAGATCTGGGCTAGCAGAGAAAAATTTATCATAAACTTAGAATTCTAAGAGATAAAAGCATTCAAAATGCTAACAGTGATTTCATGAATTTCTCATAGTATCATTTTCAATGTCAATCGATCAAGCTGAATCGTTTTTTGAAACAGTTAGAGTCAAACTGAGTTGTCTATTATTTTGTGTTCAAAAAAGTTTGTTTGCTCTGAATATGAACACAATATGTTGTGGAGATCCTCGAAGAACTTTTGGTTTTTCATATTTTTAGATTGATGCAAATTTTATGAAACCTGTCCCAATTTGTAGAAGTATTACATTTTCAAACGAAAAAAAGAGCAACGCGTATGGTCCTATTTGTCATAGGAAAAATTTTAACTTGGCAGGAAGTATTGCTTAGAGGAAAATAAGGAAGCACATCATGTTTTTTGAAAAAGGTTAATGCTGAGATAAACGAAATGCAAAAAAATCAAAGTTCTTTTCTCTTTTTGAATTTTTTTTAACGCATTCACATACAGTGATACTTCTTTGGGTGTGGGTGTGTATTATGATAAGATAAAACCAAAACTACACCCACACCCAAAACGGTTAGAGATAATAGTAAAAACTTTTTTGATATAATAAAAGTTTGGAGATCCAGATCATTTTTTAGAAACAACTCAATGTATTTATAATTAGATACGTTGAGGATCTCAACTATGTTGCAAAATTATGAAATTTTTTACGTTTGTAGAGCCTTTAATTCTAAGCATTTTGATAAAAGAAATTTGCCGGAAAGCTGTTATTTTGTAGGAAATAGATTCAAAATATCATTAGTAGGGAACGAAAGTAAACAACAATTTATCAAAACTTCGCGAAAAATCATTTTTGTGAAAGTTTTTGTTTTTCATTGCTGTGTTCTGAATCTATTTCCGACAAAATAACAGCTTTTCGGTAAATTTTTTATCGAAATGCTTAGAATCAAAAAAGTTTTTACTATTATCTCTAATTGTTTTCGATGATATGACATCTAACTATTTAGTTGGAACATAAATTCTGAGAATTCTTTGTTTTTTATACAAACTTGAGGTTTTATATCTCGTGACTAGGAACAAATGTAAAGCCTCAAATTTGTCTAAAAAACAAACAAAAATTTTCAGAACTCATGTTCCAACCCAATACAATATCAAAACCGAAGAAAAAACATTTTTCGATAAAAATAGTGGAAATCCCACAGATTCATCCAAAATGATATATTTTTACTGTGCAGTTGTTCTGACTGTTATTTCTATTCTGCTTAATCTAGTTTTGTTTTTCTTTTGCATACGGCTTTTTTTATTTCGGTTTTTGTTCCAAAGTACTTGGAATTGGATATAATGAAAAGAAAATGTATGGTGGATCTTCTTAGAAAAATAAACAGACCCGAACAATAACCCAAAAAACTTTGACTCCCCCAATCCCTGAGAACACACTTTTTAAAGTCATTTATAAAGATGAAAATCAAATAAGAATGATCGTTTCATTGGAATAATTATTATCCAGTTGGAATTTATCGAGTGTAGAAGGTCGACTATATTAACCACTCTATAGAAAGACACAGAAAAAAAGCAAAGACAGATAATTCTTGTCGTTAGAGAATTATTCGAGAAACAACCAAGCTTCTTTTATTTTTAACTGAATATTAGTAAATATTTATTTTAAAACCCTTTTAAAGAAATATTATTGTCCAAAAGCCTTTAAAAACGCCACAATTCAACATGATTAAAGATGCAGAGGCAATCGTACAACGCATCACTGATTTTTCTGAAGTGCCTCAACAATTTCTTTCACCTATATGGGGTTACGATGCAATGCCTGTGGTATCACTCGAAGAAGCCGTTGAACCACTCGTTTCTCTTTTACCAGCTGTTAAAAGTTACGCCTATTCAGCAGAGGAGATGTGTAAACAACCTGCCGATGGTTTGACACAAAATGAGTCAGCCGCAATCGTGCTCTATACTATGAGTTGGGAGCCACTCGAAGAATGTCTTTATCACGCTCTGAATGCCGCACTACGATCAGTAAGCAGGCAACAACTAAAGCCGTGGTTCTCTTATTTGAAATTGTTGCTTACTGCACTCTCTCGACTTCCATTGACTTCTAGTCGAACTATCTATCGAGGAATAAAATTAGATTTCAGTCACCAATATTCTATGCGCGATACAATCGTATGGTGGGGCTTTACATCGTGCACTGCATCAATCAATGTTTTACAATCAGAACTATTTCTTGGTAAAACTGGAAGTAGAACAATGTTCACTATCGAAACTGATTCAGGCATAGATATTCGTAACCATTCTTATTTCAAGACAGAAGACGAAGTGCTTCTTCTACCTGCTAGACAGTTTAAAGTTCATGGATGTCTTGAGCAAGGCAGTGGGCTTCATGTCGTTCAACTTAAAGAAATCAAGACATCTGTTCCTTTATTGCAACCAGTAACTGTAGGTAAGTGCTAAAACACTTGAGAATATCAGTTTATTTATTTGCAATTTCTATAAAATCTTCTAAATCAAAAATAATCAAATTTAGAAGATTGTGATGATCTAGTTTACTGATCAGTTCAGTTTATTAAATAATTTACTGCGTCTTTTTAGCATGAAAAAACGTACTTCAGAACGTTTAAAAAAGATATTTATGCTGTTCCCTAACAGCATACAACAATGTATTTGCATTTTTTTTGGAACACGAGGTATACTTAGCTGTAGCTTGGAGTTAAGAACTATCAGTCAATCTACACAAATCAACATAAACTTGTTTTATTCAATTGCCGCTATTTAAAAAAAAACATCAAAATAACCAAATAGAATTGTGTTAGTACGAAAGTCATCACTAGAGATGTGTGAATAGACGGATGAGAGCTAATTTACTTTATGATTGATATCTTATAAGTTTCTGAATGTTTTGATCAACAGAGTCGATTAATTGAATCGGTCATCAAACAAAAAGGACTTTCGACATATTCTAACAATGGTTTTCGATGATAAATTGTAATGATATTTTCTCTTCCAAGAAACTACTAGTAAATTACCGCAAAAAACTACTGACTGTCAGTCGCTATTCTAGATGCATAGAGTACTTAGATGTCCAAAGCTATTGTTCGCATTATTTCAATGTTTATATCGTGAACAACAAAACCTATTAGCAAAAAATTCATCGTTTAATTCTCAATAGAAGTTTCAAAAAACAAATGTTTTGATCAACTTTTAGAAATACATTTTTGAATTTGTCAGTTAATATTTTTTGCAAACTCATCATATTTCGTAGCACAAATTCAATTTCAGTGTACTAAGAATGATCAAAAAATAGAATGTTTGTGTGTTAAAGCATCAATAATTAAAAATCCAATAGAGGCAATCGTTGTGCAACATTGAAAATGACTAGTTTTGCTTATGCTTTTGATTACTTGTAAAGTAATACTAGTCCTTTTTTATACTTTAAAAGAACCAATCTAAAGCATCAACAAACCACACAAGTCATTCTCATAACTTTCACAACACTATTGTCGAGTAGTCTTTTGGAGAGTGCATTAGATTTTCAATGTAGTGTTTTAAGCATATAGGTCAACATTAAGAAATATTGACTCATTAAAACTAAAATAAAGCAAGTATATGAAACTTGTTTTCGAACCGTGTACTACTTTTGAAAGTTTTGCTCGGTCGTACTTCATTTGAACTCACTTCAATCGACATTTAGATATACTTTTTTTGTTACTGATGATGCAATAAAATTACTATAGTATCTTGCATGATCCTAACTCTAGTTGGAAAAAAGTTGTGACTCAGAGTATTCTGAACAGAAGTGTGAAATAGTAACTGCCGTGATATGATTATAAATTTCAATGATACTGTAGAATTAAGAAAAGCAAAAGGTCGTTGGATAATAGTCATAGAATTGTTGTAACATAACTAAACACGATATTGAACATCTGATTTTAGAATGTATCTATCCCGATGGTAGTCGATATAAAGGAAATCTCAGAGGGGGTAAGAGACATGGACGTGGTACCTACGATTTTGTCAATGGTGAGAAATATGAGGGTGAGTGGGCTGATGATCAAACAAATGGAATAGGAATTCGCAACTTTCCCAATGGAAATCGATATGAAGGAAATGAAAGAAATGGTAAGCGACATGGTTATGGTATCCTCTATTTCGTCAATGGAGAGAAATATGAGGGCGATTGGGCCAATGATAAAAAGAATGGAAGTGGAAAATATACATGGTCGCAAAATCTTCAATATGAAGGAACATTAAGAGATAATAAAAAGGATGGACATGGTATATTAAGGTTTGCCAGTGGTCGTGTTCGAAAAGGCATTTGGGAAAATGACAAATTTATTGGTTGACCTGATTCACACATATCTAACATTTAACAATCTATCATTTGGTTCTAAGAACTTATTAAATAAATTGAAAGTATAGAAAAATTTTTTACAAGTAACACAGAAAAATTCAGAATCATTAAATACACTTTGGATACACATTCATCATCAGTCACGAATTTATATCACAATTATCTATATCCCATTAACATTTAATAGTAACGACGTAAGTCACTTAGGGTGTATATACTATGAACACTTATAATTTCAAAACTCAAAGCATCAGCTTAAATCGCAACAAGAGCATGTAACCTGTGGAAGATTTTCCCCTCTTGTGATCCTATATTTGATGAGATGAATATAAACCCAAACATTTTTAACTACATTAAACTATCAATGTAAACACATCGAATACAAATTTTGAATAAAATCCGAGCATTTATATATGCTTATGTGAATATTATGCTTTCATTAAAACTACACAACTAGCAACGGGTTCACAAAAATTGACTGAGAAGAAAAATAGTCCAAAAATTCTTAATTAAAAAGAAGAAAAAAGAATTTTTCAACAAGAGTAATACCGATGTAAAAAATAAATTAATATTAACATATTTGCTGTAGTATTCTGTGCAAGCAAAGTAGACTTCAACNTTGGCGTGGGTGCGGGCGTGGGTGTTGGTGTGTGTGAGTGTGGGTGTGGGTGTCGGTGTGGCTGTGAGTGGTCTTAAGTCTTACCGTCGCCCCCACTCACACTCACATCCACACCCACACCCCCCCTCACTATTTGAAATAGTCTATATGTATACTATACGAAGAATAAAAACACTCGATGTTTATGTCATATTGTCACTATTGAATAGTGCGAATGTAATTTCACAATGTCTCGATCATTTCAATATAAAGTCAGTCTATACAGAATTTACTTTTGCAGTTTTTCTGCAAAAGTAAATTCTGTCAAAATGGTAGTTTGTATAATTATTTTCATAACTACCTTATGATCTCCTTCCCTCTGAAATTCAAGCGAAACATAAAAACTGACTATTGGTGTAGTTAACTGTATCAGCTATCTATATAGTTCTTTTCTTACTGCCCCATTTTGGTCCTTTTTTTACAGTAATTAGAAATGTATTTTTTTGTGAAAAACCAGAATATTACATTACAAAATGCATCCTAATTAAGTGCACCATAGCAATATCAACCATCATTATGTACAATGGTAATGATCTAAAATTTTCGTCGGCTACTATGCGTCGATAGATGCATGAAGGTTTATATTCCTTCAAAAACTGCTTCTGATAAATATCTATCTCAGAGTAAAAATTTGTTTTATACATGTTACCAATAAAAAAGATATTTGAATTAAACAAACTAAGCAAGAAAGGTTTTTATAATATTTCCATAATCATGATTGAAAACTTATCTTTCGTAAACATGATACAGGTATATGTATATCAATGCACGGTAAATTGTATTTGATAGAATAACAGGTACTATATAGCAGAATGCCAAAAATTCAGTATGCATGTTTATACACAAAATATTTTAAGTGAAATAAGATTTATACGCTTTTCCTGTATAACGTGATGCTATCTTACAAAAAGTAGATGAATGGCGTCTAATGATTGATTGTGGCAATTGAATAGTTTTCTGACAAGAATTTGTACAACGTAAATGGTTGAAATAAGATGAATGACATTATTTGTGGTTGAGTATTTGGGTTGCATTTTGATATAGATTGTTTGGTTGGCGTAATAAGACAACGACCCAAACTGTATTATTTTGTCGGTTATCAGTATATATAAAGAAAACTTCGAAGTCGTTGATTTGTGGTTGTTATATGTGTTTTCAGTTTGTATATATACTCTGTATGTTATTTAGAAAGATTGTTGAACTTTCTATCGTTATCGCATGATTTGTTATGACCAGAATTTGTTGAACACCCTGTTCTTCCTCCAATTTAACGAAATTTTAAAATCAATTCTATCTCTTACTTTTGTCAAAGATTAATCGAGTCTGTTGTTGTATTGAATGAAACCACACGGCTTATATAAACTAACCTTTCTCGGCAGATCTTTATTTTATTTCTTTTATATAAATTTTCAGATTTCTAATTATGGAAATGGATTCGTCTTGTCTTTTTAATAATATTGGTGGTTGTGGTGGCACAGCCACACCTTGTTATTATTTATGTAAACCAACTATTAGCACCGACAACAATTCAACTTTACTCGGTTATAAGTCTAAAATTGAAAGCCTTTTATTGCAATACGGCAAATTCGACCTGCTTCCATGTAATGTGGAAGAATTCCATGTGTGTGATAACCATGATAATCTTACACAATCTTCAATTTTCAAGAATTGCTGCTTATGCAAACAATTCGGTCGTTCAAATTCCAGCAACAGTGGCCTTCGAACCATATCAAAATTATATTCTTTTGCAGCTTGGAAGAAAAATGCAATTAGTCTTTCTTTTGGTCGAAAAATATGCACACAGTGCCGCAATGATCTTGAAAAGTATATTACAAAAGAAATTAGAGAAGAATGTGATGAACTTTTTCAATGGTTGTATGATGTAAATTTCACACATACACCATCTATATCTAGTTCTGATTCTCACAATGTTTTGTCTTAATCTATCAATAAGCTAGTCGTTGATGAAAAACCAGACCGTTTGAAACAATTTCTTCAAGGTAACTTGAAAACGGTACGAATTATGTGCATCACAATAATTTGTTTCTCCTCATTTGCAGAAGTCAACTATGATGGTCCACTACCTACAACAAAATCATTTGTAAAAATTCAACCGTCAAGTAAGAAACGTTTTTGTCGACAGTCTATCAATGGTTTAAAACATATTCTTGGTCTAATGTCACCTAATGATGATACTAATGTTAGGACGCGAAATTAAATGAGCTCGGAAAAAGAGACATTTGAGTTCGGTGTGTTTAATTGGCTTTAAAATGAGAGAAATGAGCTCGGTTGTAATAAAAATACATTTTTTTATGTAAATGAAAGTTTTGAGCTCGGAAATTAATTTATACTCTGAAAAGATACAAATGAGCTCGGTTAATTTTATTTTTGTCGTTAAAAAGAGAGAAATGAGCTCGGTAATTAATTTATGAAAATTAATTAATGATTTTATCAGTGGCAAAGTATATTTAATAAGAAAAAAATAGTTCAAGAACAAAAAAGTGCTGGGTTACAATAGATTTTTACTAATTTTCAGTCTTTTGTTAAAGCTAATTTAACTTTCTTTGGACGACCTTTTCCCCTTCTTATCCCAAGTTGTTGTGGAATTTTACGATGACCCCACATCATTAATAAACCCAATGAATGAATGCAAGAATATTCTTTGAGGCCATATTTACATGAACAAAATAATGGTGGAGTTACACAAGAAAAATCAAGTAAACGCGCAGAATTTAACCAGTCGATAAATTCATCGTAAGAATTCCAAGATATACTATGATAATGTTCTACCCATAATAATGTATCCATTTTTGGTTCAGAAGAAGGTAGGGGTGTGGGTGTGGGTATCGGTGTGGGTGTCTTCTCTACATCCACATCCACACCCACCCACACACACCCACACCCACACCCTTTCTCTTTATATTTGATCATGATGACATATGTGCGGATAAAAGAAGTTATCCCAATTGTAGATTGGATGGAAGAGAGGCATATACAAATTATCACTGACTTATATTCGACTCGTTGTCATCTGTTACTGCTGAATCTTCTGCTTCATCAGTTTCAACCGATTGTGGCTGAATATTGTTTTCAATAATGGCATCGGATGCTTGGAAAATATGTTTTGATTTCGTATGTATGCTCGATGAAGCTTTGTGCTAAATCTACACCAACGGCAGCGACAAAGTCGAGCGTTCTATTTTCTACGTCGGAAAGACGAAAATAAACATTTGTGTTGCGCACGTGTGACTTGAGTTGGGCCTACGCAAACTCTATGGGATTGAGTATACAAAGCTTTATCGGAAGTCGCAAGATTTCGACGTCGAAGGCCTAAGCTATTGAATTAATTAGTCATGTGCCGTTTTTGTGGTACATTTGACAATGCAAGCTTGAGCAACTCAGCCTTGGACGTTGTGGCAACCCATGCAATAGCTTTTATAGTGAGCCATTGTTAGAGTTGATATTTTGTCCAAGTATGTTGTGGTAATTTGGCATCATCACACAATATATGGTACCGCGATATGCTGTCTATTATTATACCAATACATTTAATAGGAGTATGTTTAATTCGAAGACGAGAAGCAGCATCTTCTATCCACTTGTGAAATTGTTCACTGTTCATAGCATGATGCTTGTTGCACTGGCAGAGATCAATCTGTTCAACGAAACCTCCCAATCCCACCGTTGCCGAAATGATAATGTGCCTTCACTGTCCATTCTGTTTGCGCAGTCGACCTTTCCTTGGCCATCAATCCAAATATTACGTTTCTCCCCGCTAGCGCAACCAGCAACGGCTTGTCATGAATATATATAATAGCACCTAAAGCACGGAGTTCGTCGCAGTGACGAATGTAAGATGCGCGTTGAGCAATAAAATGTAGTCCATCGAAAATCACGGGCTTTTTGCAATTGCTTTATATGAAAAATCCAAGTTGACGCATCTGGCGTCAAAATGTGGTAACCTAGCGCACCGCGAAATCATGGTGTTCCGCAAGCAATCGAACTAGTAATGTCTTAGTTGTCGGATAGATTTTTTCGTTAAGCATCACATGAAAATGAAAACTAATGGCATCTTGCTCATGCTCGTTTAGAATCAAGCGCGGATGACCTAAATTTCTTTGCTTCATTGGAGACTCAGCTGTAAAAATAGTCGGTTCCTGATATCGTTTGCTATGTGATACTGAGGCAGAAGCAGATGCAGATATGAGATCTAATTGACAATAAATTGGATTCTCGGTCGATTCCGAGAGAAGATGAAGTCGCATCCTGGCATTTTTTTGCATCTTGGTTATTTCTTGCTTCGTTTTTACTTTTTCTTCTTTCTCTCTCCTCTC